CCCTTAGAGAAATGGACCACGGGGCACCAGAGGACCAATATTCAGGATGAGGAAATGCAGGACAAACAGGAGTGCATAAATATGAGAGGCGCAGGGGGAGGGTTACAGGGTAGGGAGGGGAGGAGACTGGGTTAAGATTGGACATGGTAACGTTGAATGTAAGACAAGCTCTTAAAATAAAATCAAATCAAAAATTTTAAAAATAAAAATCTATTGGAACTAATTGAGAGATTTAGCATCAGGGCAGGATACAAGATCAACATCCCAAAATCAGTTGGATTCCGCTACACCAGCAACGAGATTGCTGAAAAAGAAATAAGGAAATCAATACCATTTGCAGTAGCTACCACTATGAGACCGGTAATCAACTCCATGGTATAATCTACTGTGAGCAGCTGAGTAGTTGCCCTGGGGTATATGGTCTGCTTCCCATATATAAGTAGCAGCTTTGAGGATGGTTTCTTATGGCACCCTTTAACCCTGCATATAGCCGTGTCACTGTTCAGCAGCCTGCCATGCTCTGCCAACCTTGGGACTTTCAATGGACTTGAATTAATGGTCTGCCATGTGGTTTAGTAACATTGGGTCTGTGCCATTTTACTTGTTGACCTTGGGTTTGTTAGCCTCAGCAGCCAGTAGCTGCCTGACTGAAGAGACGCCTCTGGCTTCAGTGGGCCAAGAGCAAGAGGCAAAGCTGAAGCCCAGGGTCGAGGGGCTTTCACACAGTCCCTAGCACCTGGCACTCAGTCTGGAATTCAGATTTCTATCCTCCCAAACTGTAAGAGAATAAATTCCTGTTTGTTCAAGCCATCCCATTTCTGGTATATTCCTGTCATAGCGGTACTAGGTAACCAGAAAAATAGGAAAAAACAATCACTAACTTTATATGGAAAAGAAAGAGACTTCGGATAAGCAAAGCACTATTGAAGAAGAAGAACGAAGTAGGAGGTCTCACACTGCTAGTCTCAAAACCTATTATACAGCCACAACAGTCAAAACTGCCTAGTATTGGTATAAGGACAGACACATAGACCAATGGAATAGAATTGAGAACCCAGAAATAAATCCATTGAATTATGGTCAGCTGATCTTTGACAAACGGCTGAAATCTGTTAAATGGGGAAGAGAATGTCTGTTTAGTAAATGGTTCTGGCAAAACTGGATATTCATTTGCAGAAAAATGAAACAAGATGTGTAACAAAACTAACTCCAGATAGATCAAAGACTTAAATGTGAAACCTAAAATGATAAAGTTCCTCAAGGAAACACTAGAAGCAAATTTAGGGGTCCTAAAATATATGGTATGCGAGCTCTGGTGGCATAGTACCTAAGGCTTTTGACTGCTAACCAGAAGGCTAGTGGTTCCAACCCACCAGCCACTCCTTGGAAGGAAGGTTGGGCAATTTACTTCTGTAGTAATACCGCCTCGGAAACCCAAGGAGGGGTCACTATGAGTCGCACCCGACTCGATGGCAGTGCTTTTGGGGTTTTTTTTTGGTTAATATATAGCATAAATGGGAGCTCTGGTAGCATAGTGTCTAGGGCACTTGACTGCTAACCAGAAGGCTGGCGGTTCAAATCCACCAGCCACTCCTCAGAAGGAAGGTACTGCAATCTACTTCCATGGTGATACTGCCTTGGAAACCCAAGGAGGGGTCGCTATGAGTCGGGTCCAACTCGATGGCACATACCACCACCACCACCAACAACATGGCATAAATAGACTATCGAGCATAATCCAAAATGTACTAACAGCAGAAGATAAACTCGATGAATGGGACCTTCTCAAAATTAAATTTTTATGTCCTTCAAAGATCTCTTCAAAGGACTTAATAGAGAACCTACAGATTGGGAAAAAATATTTGGCAAAGATATATCTGACAAGGGACTTCCCTCTAGAATTTATAAAAACTCCAACATCTCAACAACAAAAAGACAAATAATCTAATTAAAAAATAGGCACAAGACATGAATAGACACTTCACCAAAGAGGCTATTCAGGTGGTCAACAAACATATGAAGTAATGCATACAATCATCAGCCACTAGAGAGATGTAAATCAAAACAACAATGAGGTACCATCTTGCTCCAGCACTAGCAGCAAAGTTCAACAAGACAGAAAATAACAAATGCTGGCGAGGTTGTGGAGAGATTGGGACTCTCATACACTGCTGGTGGGACTGTAAAATGATACAGTCACTGTGGAAAGCAGTATGGCGATTCCTTAAAAAGTCAGAATTAGAAATACCAATTGACCCAGCCATTCCATTACTAGGTATATATCCTAAAGAAGTGAAAGTCAGGACAAGAACAGATATATGCACACCCATGTTCATCGCAGCACTATTTACAATAGCCAAAAGATGGGAACAACCTAGGTGTCCATCAACTGAAGAATGGATAAGCAAAGTATGGTACATACAGACAATGGAATACTACACAACCCTAAAGAATAACACAGAATCTGCAAAACACCACATAATGTGGATGAATTTGGAGGACATTATGTTGAGTAAACTAAGTCAATCACAGAAGGACAAATATTCTATTAGTCCGTTATTATAAAAAGTCAAGGAAAGGTTTATATATGGAAGGAAATGTTCTTTGTTGGTTACCAGGGGTGGGAGGGGAGGGGAGGGAACACTGTTAGACAGGTAGAGACAAGAATTAATTTGAGTGAAGAGAAGGGAAATGTACCAAATGTGAGTGATCAACACAGTGGCACTGAGGAAGAGGAAGACATAGAGAGGTGTATGGGACGTACAGACAACAAAGATGAACCCTTTTGCACATACAGTACTGCACTGTCAGTGAAGGCAAACATGGATATATGGGTGGATAGACGGGTGAACAGGCTGAACTATTAGGTATGTTTGTGCGGGGGGAACGTGCCCAACAACATGTATAGGGTTGCCAGACCATGCTTCTACAAGTCTATTGGTATGTTCTGTAAGAATTCCCAAGTATATAGCAGAGGTGACAAGGGACAAGTTTTTATTTATTTCTTGGGCACAGCCAGCTACCCAGAGGGAGCAAGTAGTTGGACCTGTGGACTTGGGACCATAGTCACAGGGACATCAAGCTCAACTGGCAAAACATACTACACAAAACATTGTTCCACATCCTACTTTAGCAAGTAGTGACAAGGATCTTAAAAGCTTACAAGTGGCCATCTAGATGCAATGATGGGTCTCTCTTCATCCAGAGCAAAGAATGAAGAAACTCAAAGATTCATGGAAACAATTAGCCCTAGCGACTGGAACATCATGCGATCCTCAGCCTATATGACTATGAAACCCAGAAGAACTAGATGGTGCCCGGCTACTGCTGGCAACCACTTGGACGGGGATCTATGTAGGATATGCTGGATAGAATGGGAGAACAATGTGGAACAAAACTCACAATCATTAAAAAAAAAAGGGACCAAATTTGCTGGTCTGATAGAGCTTGATGGAACCACTGAGACTATGGCCCATAGTTGCCCTTAAGGTCTGGAATTGAACCCACTCCTGTGACTTCCAGACAAACAAAAGATAGGCATATGAGTTAAACATTTACACTAGGTAGATACACTCCTTGGAGAGAACAATCATGGGAGAACAGAAGGGCTGTGTATGCAAAGAGACATCTCAAGGCGTGAGAGTGCACAGAGGGAAGGACAGAGAGAAGAGGTAACTATGGGGAGGAAGTCGGAGGGGAGCTGTTGCATTGTGGTAAATTGTAGTCAACGTCATGAGACAAAGTATTGGTGAGCTACTGTATGGTAAGTGAATTTGCTCTGTAAACTTTCACCCAAATCACAATTTAAAAAAAAAAAAAAAGGTTTCAGAATATCATTAGGGACTATCATGGTATTTTTATAAAGACCAAAGTGTAATAGAACTAGGAAAAAGGTGAGGACAGTACACCGTTGTCTTAACATTTGTCATCTCTAAGGATAAGAATGCCACTGAGCTCCATTTCTTTCTTGGTTTTGTCTCTTTTCATAAATCTTAATTTTCATCCAATAAACATATCTTACTTGTAAAACAATAATACTAATCATAAAAAGAAAAGTGAAACAATGATAGGACTCTTTGCTTCCAAACACAAAGAGTAAATGGGGATCTCCCACTATCATCTTAAGCATGCTGTTGTTGTCTGTGCTCTTCTTTCCATTTATATCCATTGCCTCTATGCATCCAGCCCACGGCAGCCTCATGTGTATCGGAGCAGAGCTGTGCTCCACAGGGATCCAGTGGCAGGTTTTTTGGAAGCAGATCACCAGGCCTCTCTCCCAAAGCACCTGTGGATGGCCTTGAACTGCCAGCCTTTCAACTAGTAGCTGAGCATATGCATTAACCATTGCACCACCATAAAACACCTGTCCTCAGATAGTCTGCATCATGATCACTTTCAACGGCTGCATAGTATTTCAATGAATGCATGTATCACAAAGTTTAAACCAATTCTCTCTTTACGAGAATTTAGGATCTGCTTATACATGAAGTCTGGAGAGCTATACACCTATCCTAACATTCCCTAAGAATTAATTCTAGATATACAATTACTGGATAAGTCTTTTAAGAACACTGATACATGCTGGACTTCACAAAGACTTTATCCCTGAACACTCTCCCAAAAAAACAATATGATAGTGTCCTGAGATTCTCTTACTATAAGCAATTCCCCAGTTTGCCACTGGATAGGAAATCTGATGATCTATGCTATTCTTTGAAATTGGCTTTCATAAAAGAAAGCTGTTCAGAACGCAAGAAAACAGGTACCTTAAAGACTGATCAAAAGAAATAATAATTTTTTTTTTCCTAGCCATGTGACTTAATTGTTTAATTGTTGGCCTGATGGAAATATCAAATCCACCAAGATCAATGGCTGTACTTCAGTCTCAACCAAATACAAAGAGAATTTTATGTTTTGTTAAGGGAGAGCAAAAACATAAATACAACTAAAACATGGGAGCAGATCAAACACGGAGAACAGTTCCTTTATTTCTCCCTTACCGCATGTCAATAGCTCCTGCTTCACGCCTGTGATGGGCTGGGCCTGCAGGGACTTAGGGTAAGCACACCTGGTGTCCCGGACAGTGATGTTCCTCTCTTTTACCCAGCGATGCATCCATAGTATGTTACAATCACACAAAAGGTACTCAGTCTGGAATTCTCTGCACCACCAAAATACAAAGTAGAGATGACAGTGAATAAAATTAAACAGCACTTTTGCTTTATATTAGCTTATACTTTTGGAGGCAAGTCCACTACCACTCACCCTTACCAGCCCTGTGGCATCCTGCAGTAACTGTTACGTTCTCCTTTGCAATGAGCTGACTGGAGAGTGTCCAATCCCAGCACTATCTTACCAGGATCCTGGGATTCCGCGTTCAATCCAAGGTGGCAGGCACACAAGATCTATTCATCATCCCTCTTCTATGAAACAAGCTTCTTAACTCCATGCTTCTGGAATGCCGACCCCAATCCTTTTTGTGTCTCAAACTTCTGTTCATGCACCATAAAGCATGTGGCCCTTAAACTGGATTTGAAACCTTCTCCAAGTTTTCCACGTCCTTGGTCTAAATGCCTACGCCTCTCCTGTTAATGCCGGCATTGAAGTAGCAACCTGAGGCGACCCAGGACTGTGTCACGTGGCCATATTCATCCCGTCGGCTAGACTGTAAGCTCCTCACGGGGAGGGGCTGTTGCTGGCAATCCTGTACTATGCTCCAAAGTGGTACCATAAAAATGTCTTGACCGAAGAAGGGTTAGTCAATCAGCAGATTAAAAATGTAAAATAAGAGTACATCACACTTAATATGAAAATAGAGAATTACCTTTATAAAAGTTTTGTAATTTATCACGAAAGGAAGATAAATACAAATCAGATATTGTTGCTACTGTGTGCTGTCAAAGTGATTCTGACTCACAGAGAGTTCACAGGACAGAACAGAACTGTCCCATTAGGGTTTTCTAGACTGTAAACTGGAGCAGACCACCGGATCTTTTCTCGCAGGGAGAAGCTGGTGAATTCAAACCACAAATCTTTCAGTTAGAGGCCAATGTGTCACTTAACCAATGTGTCACTAGAGTTCCTTAGATGAGACATAAGCACAATTATCTCTTAAAACCATGGTTCACTAAACAGTGACACATCATGTGGTAAACACTAAGCTAATTCCATCTAATAAAAGACATTATCTTTGCCAATAAAGAAACGTCAGGGGGGAGCAAAAACATAAATACAACTAAAACACAATATAACGTGTTCTATAAAAACAAACGAATAAAGTGCAAAGATAAGCATGTGCGTGCTAATACAGTACACGGACACAAAGTCCATCTCCTCATTGGTTTTGACAAAAAGAAAGAAAAAGGAAACATCATGGGGGACACAGAATACAGCGTAGATGAAATAAATTAAAAACAATAACAAAAGGCTGAGCTGAATGATTCGTAACTTCTAAGCACCCAATTCTGGTCAGTTCTTAGTATTAGGAGGCGAAATCACTGGCAGTTTTTTCCCAATTTTTGGAAGAGGATACTTCGAACAGGAACTCCATGTGGCCTCAAAAGCCAGATTACCTGTCACAGACATTTTCTTCCCTAGGCCACAGAAATGGCTGACCTGGACCCACTAAATAGGCCAAAAGACCCACTAAATAGGCCAAAAGGAGATGTTTTCCAGTCTGGATAAATCCAAGAGGGGTTTCCACAGGAGAAAACAATGGGACTCTAGAAGCACATACGGACGCCCCCTGATGGTGAGGCAGCAATGGATGTATAACCTACAGCCGTATCCCAACAAAGCCTGCCCAATGAGATTTAGATGATAAAAAGAAAACAAGTCGGCATACACCTAACAGAATGGCATCTGGTAGAGATGAAATGCTCCCTTGAAAAAGACCTCAATCCCATCAATTATACTAAAAGAAAACCTGAAAAACATTGCTGTTTGATTCTGGTTCATACATGAATGAATCTCACTTTGAGTTTGAAATACATTAAAGTTTATGTGGCCATCATTTTTTTCAAAAGCAACTCCTGTGCAATTTCTCAGTTAACAAAACTATGTCTGTTGCAGCTGGGGTGTGGGGCAGGTAAGGGAATCAACCAATTCTAAAACTATAGAGAACTGTGTAAATGGGATCTTATGTTGATAACATAAAGCAGGTATTCGAAACACCCCTAGAAACACCAGCAACAAGGTCTGAATTCAGCTGGTGCAGGGGTTACAGGACAAAATTAAAGCCCTAAAGTACAGAATATTCTCAACTGTAAATTCCTCATGGTGTTGTCAGGTGACGTGGAATCAGCTCTGATCTATGGCAACCTTATGCATAACAGAATGAAGTGTGGCCTGGTCCTAGACATACTCACGATCGCTGCTATGTCCGACTCCACTGGTCTAGCTCTTCTGTCAACCCATCTCATTGAAAGGTCCCTTATTCTCACTGACCCTCCACTTTATCAACCATAACTTCCTCTTCTAGCAACTCGTCTTTCTAGATAACACGTCCAAACTAAGTGAGCATAACTTTCACCATTCCCACTTTTCTAAGGCCTATTTTTCATAGGGAGGGGATATTTTATACTTTGGGATTTAATTAGTCAAGCAACAAAATATTTTCTAATGTTAAAATAAATCCAAGGAGAAACCACATTACCAATTCACGGGCTTTAAAAACCAATTAGCATACTTTTAAGTGTTGTAAAGAGAAAACGGATATCCTAGTCTGAAACTCATCCTTAAGATTTACTGTATGTTTTTCAGTGTGGAAGCAAGTGCTCAAGTAAGATTCTAATTTCTGCAAATTCACTAGACTGTCCTCATAAAACCTCCTTAAACCACATAATAAACTTCAAAAGCGAAGACAAGACAAAATTCTTACTTACAGAGACCGGAGTGAGCCAAGATAATCAAAAGTTCCTTGAGATAATGAAGAAAACAAATTCCCTGAAAGATTTCTGGGGGAAAAAGAAGCAAACGATTTCACTTTTAAAACTACTTAACATTATACATTTTACATCATTTCATATTTTTGAAGGTGCCCTATAATCATTAAACAATGTTATAAATAACTTATGAAAGCTGTTTGAAGTCTGATAAAGACGAAGTAACTAGTAAATATTCTCTCCAAGATTAAGAAAGAAAATTACTCTTAACTTTATAGAAAACAGTACGTAAAACTGTAAATTATGCTCCCAGCTTAACGAGGACCTCTCCATCAGACACCGCGTCAGCCTGAAATGCCCGTACTATCAGCCTGAAATGCCAGTACTATCCGTTCAACAAATAAGGCCCTTCATCATGCCCCCTTCCTGCTGAAGTACTCTTCCTGTGGTCTCTCAGTATCATTTAAGGGAAGAAAGTAAAAATTTAAAAAATTAACAAGACAAGGAAAACCTGAATGATTATCAGCAGCAAACACAACAGTTGAGTGAGAAATGTGGAGACAGTGGAATGAGTTCAGGGTTTAAAATGAAAGAGACTTGGGATGTAAGTCTCACGTACAAGACAAATGACTTAACCTCTCCAGGTTCCCCTTGTACCAATTGTTGTTGTTGTGTGCCATGGAGTCGGACCCAACTCACAGCGACCCCTCCTTGGGATTCCGAGGCAGTATCACTATGGAAATAGACTGCCCAACCTGCCTTCCGAGGAGTGGCTGGTGGGTTTGAACCGCCAGCCTTCTGGTTAGCAGTCAAATGCCTTAGGTACTACACTACCAGTTCTAAGTTTCTGTCTGCTTTTTACACACATTCATATAAAGCTCTATTATAATAAACCTTATTTCTAGTTACTACCATGTAAACAGTCTATTGCAAAAATATAGTAAAATGTGTGAGGGTTTATAGAAAGTCCCTCCATATTTATATTATATACAAAATTATAATAGAGATAAACAGACATAGATCATTTAAATTTTAATTAAGGCTTATGATAATTTTCAGGTACTATTAAACCTAAGTTTGGGCAATCTATTTCCAAGTGATACTACCTCAGAAACCCAAGGAGGGGTCGCTATGAGTCAGGTCCAACTACACAGCAGTGAGTTTGGTTTGGTTTATTAACCCCACTTTACAAGCGAAAAACACAAAACCTCAGAAAAGTTCAATAACTCAGCCAAAATCACCTGGCCAGAGGCAACTTTCTCATGGTCATTTACCTCACTACCCTGCCCCTTGTCACAGCGTCTCTGGCTGTCACTTCTACCTCCAAGCCTTTGCTCAGCTTCTTTTTGCTTCTAACTATCCAAAGTTTTGTACACTTTTGTACCATCAGCTCACGTCTGTCCTCTTGCAAGATGTGTTTCTCAGATTACTGAAGACTTTGATCATCTCTCTCAGGGTGAACGTGTCCTCTGCTATGTGAACAATATCACGTTTCTGTGTGTGCACGTGCGCAGTAGTGTATTATTATGTTCTGGTGACATTTTATCTCCATGATTCGTTTGTAAGTGCCTGTCCCCTCCTGCTTCTATAATCTCTAGAGTTGCTACTTTAATATGAATATTAAACACTATCATAAAACACAAAAATCACACCCACTGCTGTCTAGGTGATTCTGACTCAGTGACCCTGAGGGACAGAGTAGAACCGGCCCATAGGAGTGTCCAAGCTGTAAAACTTTACCGAAGCAGACTGCCATATCTTTCTCTGGTGGAGCGGCTGGAGGGTTTGAACCACCGACCTTTCTCTTAGCACTCAGGCATTAAACACTGTGCCACCAGGGCCCCTCCACATATCATTTAAAAAAAAAAAAAAAACCAAACTGACTGCCTTGGAGTGAGTTCTGACTCACAGCAACTCCCACTGGGTCTCTAAGGCCGTAAATCTTTACGGAAATAGATCAGCCCATCTTCCTCCCACTGAGTGGCTGGTGAGTTCGAACAGCAGACCTTCTGCCTAAGCATCCAAATGCCTTATCCACTACGTCACCAGAGCTCCTTCCACATATCACACGTGGTCATAAATCTTTGGGTACCACATCAAATGCTTCACTGCATATGAATAGGAAAGAAAGATGTACTTACAGCCTAACTAGATTGGTAAGCCCTCTAAATATGTCTGCATTCAGACAGCCTATCCGATTGTTTGTCAGGTCCCTAAAGAGAAAAGGGAGAAAGTGCCTGCAATTAGTTTTCTTGGTTAATGAAGCACACACATGCACTTTTCAGCTATCACACAAGCTCTGTCTTTCCAGCACCTCTGAGATACTTACCTCCACCTCAAGTGAGATAAGGATAGCACTGAGGAATGGCATCATCTTGCTTCCACTCACCTCTGGCACACACACACATACACAAACACACACACGTCAAACTCTGCTCAATTACCGCACTCTATATTTCAAGCATTATGCTTGAAATTACCTAAGACAAAGCTGGAGGAAAAAAATGGGGCCCAATACATCTTACTGTCTGCAATACAATTTCTTAGATGACCTATAGTTACTTCTGCTGGGTGACACCAGACAGGAGAATCCAATCTCAGCCAACAGATAACAAATAGCAGATAAAAGGGCAAATTATCAAGGGATGGCCCTTTTATTTCCTCAGGAGCATCTCAAACTTACTGCTTTCTAACTTCAGTTTCCTAATATTCAGAAGGTTTGACTGTAATGAAAAAGAAAGAAGGGGGACAAAAAAAAAGAAATGAATTAGCTTCTACTGCCCAGATCTTGTTGATAAAGCAAAAGAGTAAGTGAACAGATCTAACTTTTACCTCCTTTTGGAGTTTGTTTTTCAAAAAGCCACTTAATCTCCCTGATTCAAATTACCTATAAACAAAAGGAGTGGCATGGGAGGCTTACAAAAATGCTGACGTTGGCTGCTGAGCGAGATGCACAACGGGAGATGCAGGACTGAAGGTCCGTAAGGAAGTGCCTGTGTGTACACACAACTACATAAACCCTGAGGGGGTGCTGTTGTTAGGCCCTGGGGAGGCAGCCCTGACTCACAGCGACACTGCAACAATAGAAAGGAACACTGCCCAGACTGCAGCACCCTCACCACCATGGCCATGCCTGAGCCCAGCTGTAGCCACTCTGCCAATCCATCTCATTGAGGGCCTTCCTCAACATGACGACCCCAGAATATCCTTGTAAGCTACTGAGTTTACATATAGGACGACCCCTTCAGCGCAAATCTTGTACCATAAGTTCAATGATAAGTCAGCTGTTTGGAATTAAGAATGTATTTCCCAGCAACAGAACAATATAAATGGCAAGTACATCCCCAGGCAAGAACACAACAGTCTACTTCATTCAGAGTAGAAATGACACCTGCTCAAGTAGCAGCACTTAAATGCTACTGAAGAAGGAAAAAAAAAAATTTTTTTGAACAGCAGTACCTGAGAAATTACTTTAAGTATAAAGAAGTAAATGGAAAACTTAATATATTTAAGTATCCTTAAAACATCCTGATGAAAGAAACTTTATTATTCATTTCCTTCAACTTATATCTCAGTATAGAATGTTATTACCATGAATCTATTACCCACAAGTTGTTAATACAAGAATGAAGATCACAGAGGGAGAGAATAAGAAGTGGTCTTGTTTGACAGTAGGACATCTTAACCTTTTCTACAGGAATAAAAAAGAAAGAAAAAGTTGGAGGGAAAAATGTTTTAGACACTCCCAAACTTTAGCATCAGAATCACTGGGAAGAATGGTTAAAACAGAGGTTATTGGGCCCAGCCTCAGCAGTTCTCACAGGGTAATCTAGTCACACTCTGTGGTGCTTCCCTACTTTAAGACTGATATTTACAGGCACAGGTCCAAACTGACCAATCTCAATACCTTGTCAGTTAATCCCCCGTAAGAAGCACAAAGAAAGTGACTCTATTATAAATCAGACTACTCTCCCTAATAACCTAGTCACCATTTCTGGCTGTGCTCCACCCCCGTCTGGGTGTGCATGGCTGAGTCCTAATAACTGCCAAGCCTCCTAGGAGCTCCACACTACCTATGACCCTCTCTCTCTGTAGAACTAGATTCCTACTCCATATGCAGGCTTTTCATCAACATGTACGGTCCAACAGACTGCAAACCCATCAAGGTTTTCCTGGCTTACCTTCCCATCTCTAAAGCCCAGCTCACTATTGTGGGGATGGACTCAGTAGGTTTTTTTTTTTTTTTTTTTGGATGGACTCAGTAGGTTTTTTTTTTTTTTTTTTTTAAATTGTACTTTAGGTGCAAATTTACGGAGCCGAATGTGTTTTACATTCAACACTTGGTGTACATTTGGTTTCACTCTCCAATTACCATCCCCAACCCTAACCCACTCTCCTCCTCTCCCTTCCCAGTAACCCCCCATCCCTGTGCCCTTCTTAGTTATGCAGTCCTGTCTATCCAGCTTTCCCTCCGTGTCACTGCTGCCCTTCTGGTGCCCATGGCCAACTGCTCCAAGGGATGTATCTCCGTAGAGTAGGTAGGTGCATTGCCCTGGGTTGAGTCTTATTTACTGTTGGGCTGAGAGCCAGCCCTTGGGAGTGAGTTTTATCCCAGGTCCAATGTGTATCCCAGGGCTATAGTATTGGAGGTCCCAAGACTCCCTCTGACCAGTAATTCTGGTCATTATTCCATTTTGGGATTTTCTTCCACGTTTTTCCTCCCTCTCTACCCAGGATCTCCAGTTTTGATCCCTTCCTGAGTGGCTGGCATTGGTAGTCGGGCACCATCTACTCCTTCTGGTCTCAAGGTCCATTGTGTCCTAGGGCTGCTTGTTTCCAAATGCCCTTGGTTTTCCTCACTCTTCTTTGCTTCCGACAAGAGGAGACCATTAGCTGCATCTTAGATGACCCCAGTAGCTACTCACCAAAGTAGGCTATGGAACAAGATTTTTATATATTTTGTTATGCCAATTGAGTCTGGTGTCCCCGAGTACTACAGTCCTGAGTTGGCAGATCCAGTGGCTCTCTCTCCCACAGTATCTAGCTGTCTGTGAGGGATTGTTCTATGTCTGTCTTCTGTTGCTTCTGTAATGACTGCAGGTATTTTGTATCACTAGTAACTGTGCAAGATTAACCTCAGCTGAATCTATCTTTGGTCTAGAATATAATCCTGTTCACTGACCCCCATCTGATCTTCTCAGATGTTTATGTGTTTATTTGTAGCCTGGTATTTGGTGTTAATGGTAACGCAGTAGTGTAGATATACTGGTATCAGCCTCTGTCATCTATATCTTACATGTACAATCTGTCCTCCTTTTCCCCAATGTTATCATGCTGGTCACAGACTCTTGACATACCATCCCTCCCCTTACCCAACTCAGCGTGTGGCCCCCAACTGGACTCAGTGGATTTTTGTTGATTGCAATGGATGCTGATTTCAGCCTTACCACTTTGATTACACTGCTGTTACTCAAGCTAAACTCTAAACTTAGCTTGGTCCACCGCAACTCTAATGCCTACCTAACCTACTCACTGTCCATGTCTACCTCCTCAATCCTTTTCACTTTCCTTATCAAGAATTCCAAGGTCTCTGGGTGATGCAGTTTATGCCTATGTACTTATCTAAAGGCTGGTGGTTCAAACCCACCCAAGGACCATGGAAGAAAAATCTGGAGATCCATTTCTATAAAGATTATAGAGAAAACACCCTGTGGAGTAGTTCTATTCTGTAACTCATGGAGGTCTCCATGAGCTGGAGTCAACTTGATGACTATGGGTTATTTTCTACCCAGAATTCCAATCTCCATTAGTACCACTAACCTACCCCGAACCTGGTCAGCTTTCCTGACTTGTTTCATTAATACAGAAAATCTTAAGCAAAAAGTAAGGAAGTGTAGAGTTAGCAGGGAAGAAAAAACTGATTAGAAATGAAAACCCTGAGCTGCACTGAGTGAGTGCAAAGATGGAGGATCACAATGATGCTTTTGCCACACAAACAATGATAATAAAATTCCCTAATACAGAGTCTGACCGGCATTTTAAACACTTTTACAAGGAGAAGAGAGAAACCTTTACCTGCTACTGCTCTTAACCTTCCAAAGGTCTGAATCTTAACACTGCCCAAGCGAGGGAAATGGGAGGGGAGCTACAAATGACCAGTTTTACAGGCAAGATAATTATACTTGCAAAAGTAATCAAAATTCTGCAAAAACAGCACTGCCAACTCTTACAACTGGATCACACTATAAAAAAAAAGAACAGACTATGAATGATAACAAAATAAGAACGCCAAGGTGTGCAAAGTATAAAGATGGAAGGTTGGCGGCAATATTGAATTCATGGCACAAATAAAGTAAGAGCAGCTATAGCCAGTTTATCAGACAAATACTGTGAAACAAATGAGACATAAAAAATAACCACCCTGAATAATTTAAAAAATTAAATATAATAAGAAAGTATGATAGAGTGACCAAAATCCACGAGAAAGGGTCAGCTGAAAGGATGAGAAGAAGAAGAAAGCGTGGCATCAGCCTCCTCCCCTCTGTCCCTGGTCTTGTTCCACTTCAGTGATTTTCCCCAAGTGTCATCAGAAACCCTCTGCCACCCAAATCGGATCATGTCCACACCACACCCAGAATGTTCCGGCAGTCCCTCACTATCGAAATCATCCATTCTAAACTCTTTCTCAGAGCAGTCAAAAGCCTAATCCCCGAGCAGCCTTATCTCCTAACAGTCTTTCAAACCTTTTGACTCTATTCTCTGGCCAAAGAACTAAATCTGCTCTTCCAAGACATGTGCTCTTTCACATCAATGTCCATTCTGCTTAGAAGGTACTTTCTGTCATTCTTCAATACACATTAACCCTCAGGTGTAAGATCAAATCTAAACCATGGTGGCTCTTGTGGCAGGCTGCTGACCTCTCAAATGTTCCCTCCTTTCCCCAGTTTATTATTACATCTAGTCAAGCATCTATAAAGGACTGCGGCTGGTGCAAGCAGCTTGCAACTGTCTGCTAATCTAAAGGTTGGCTGTTAAAACTCACACAAGGAGTTCTTGGAAGAAAGGCCTGGAGATCTGCTTTCATGAAGATTCCAGCAAGAAAACTCTACGGAGCAGTTTACTCTATAACCCATGGGCTCACCATGAGTGTGAACTGACTCAAAGGCAATGGGTTCAGGGTTTCATTTGTTTGTTTAGAGCAAATATTAGGTTGTATTTTCTTTAACTACCTATCCCCAGGACCACTCCTCGGAATCTAGGGGCTCTTCCAGAGAAGTCAGAATGTAGTAAGAGGTTAACACGCAATAAATAACTGAAGAAGGGATGAAAGATACGTATGCAGGTGGGCAACATGAGAATGAGTCCACACAGCCTGAATGCAGAGAAGGGGCACTTCTCATGTGTGAGCCTGCTTACCACAGCAATTCTAAGAAAACATAAGGGAAGGAAGGCAGTTATAAAGTTTCAGTAGTAGTAGAAAAAATGGGTCCTTAGGTTTTGAAGTAGTATTAATATGTGGATAATATATATATATAAATAGTGAGATTAAGTTATTAACAGAAAGATGTTCCAACTTAGAAGGTATTTACAACAGAAACAGTCTGAAAGGATGCATAATTGGAAAATTACCTATATATGAGGTTGCTGGCAAAGCCAATAATGTAATGATTTTATTAGCATCACAGGGACACAACCATCTACCACAGAGAAGTAAAATTACTGCATAAATCAATCCCTGTCTGATGTTTACCTGTGTTTTATTGACTTTGCAAAAGCATTCAACTCTATGGATCATAACAAATTGTGGATAACATTTCAAACAATGGGAATTCCAGAACACTTAACTGTTGTTGTAGTTAAGGTTATGTGTCAACTTGGCTGGGCTTGGTTTTGGGTGGCTGGACAGCTGGATGTAGTTATTCCCCCTGGTGAGACTGGCAATTATTAACCCCATGGTAGAATCTACTGGAGCAGCTGAGTAGCCGCTTTAGGGTTGTGGGCTGCTTCCAGTACATAACTTTGAGGAAAATCTCCAGCTTTTTGGCACACTTGAACTCTGCATGTAGCTGTGTCGTTGTTCAGCAGCCTGCCATGCTCTGCCAATCCTGGGACTTTCAATGGACTTGAATTAATGGCCTGCTATGTGGTTTGGTAACATTCGGACTATGCCTCTTTACTTGTTAACCTTGGGTTTATAAGTCTCAGCAGCCAGCAGCTGTCTGAGTGAAGAAAAGTCTCCGGTTCAGTGGGCCAGGAGCAGAAGGCAGAGCTGAAGCCCAAAGTTGAGGGGCTTTCAACCAGCCCCTAGAGCCTGGCACTTTGAACTAGGATTTCCAGCCTCCAAAATTGTAAGAGAATAAAACTCCTGTTTGTTAAAGCCATCCCATTTGTAGCGTACTTCTGTTAGAGTGGCACTAGGTAACCAAAACTGTGCTCAGGCAGAACCTATACAAACCTATACAAAGACCAAGAGGCAATTGCTCAAACAGAACAAAGGGGTTAATCCATGGTTTAAAGTCAGGAATGGTGTGTATCAGAGTTGTATCCTTTCACCACACTTATTCAATCTGGATGCTAAGCAAATAATCTGAGAAGCTGGACTGTGTGAAGGAGGATATGGCATCAGGATTGGAGGAAGTTGTCAAGGATTTCATTTTACTTGGATCCACAATCCATGTCCATGGAAGCAGAAGTTAAGAAATCAGACAACATATTGCACTGGTCAAATCAGCTGCAAAAGACTTCTTTAAAGTGTTTAAGAGCGAACATGTCACTCTGAAGACTAAGGTGTGCCTGGCCCAAGCCATGGTATTTTCGATCGTCTCATATGCACATGAGAGCAGACAATGAATAAGGAAGACCTCAGGAGAACTGATGCATTTGAATTTGTGTTGGTGAAAAATATTGAATGTGTTGACAAAGAATATGGAATGTACCATGGGTGGCCAGAAGAATGAACAAAACTGTTTTGGAAGAAAGAGAGCCAGAAGGCTCCTTTGAAGGGAGGAAGACAAGACTTCATCTCATGGACTCTGGATGCATTATCATCAGGAAGGACCAGATCTGGAGAAGGACTCATGCCTGGTAAAGTAGAGGGTCAGCACAAATGAGGAAGGCCCTCAACAAGATGCACTGACACAGCGGCTGCAAAACCAGGCTCGAGCATGGCACCAATTGAGAGGATGGCACAGGACTGGGCAGTGTTTCACTCTGATGTACACAGGGTCACTATGAGTTGGGATCAACTCAACGGCAACTACAAGCTGGTATGTTAACAACACTTTGTTTTTTGGTCATGGACCTACCCAAGTGAACTTGTAAAAATTACTGAATAGCCACTTTTTAAAATCCTGTTAATAAAGCTCAGAGTAGGATAAGAGCTACTTATAAAATGAACAGTTCAAGTTAATAAGCAATCAATTCAATACTTACAATCGTTTTAGTGATGACAGCCCCCAGAAGGCACCTGGATCTATACTACTAATAAGATTGTTGCGGAGGTCCCTGTTAAAAAATAATTAGATAAAAATTATACACATACCAACAGTGGAACAAATATTTAAACACATTACATTTACTTGCAATAGAGCAACCAGCAAAAACATTACGAGGCTGGTGTAGGACTGGGCAATGTTTCACCCACTCTGTTGTCCACAGGGTCGCTCTGAGTCAGAGACAATTCGACAGCACCTAACAACAGCTCCCCCACTCCATGTTCCCACTTTACCCCTTTCTCTTGCCTGGTTAACTCCTACTCATCATTTAGGCTTCGGGTTAAATATTTCCTCCAGAAAAACATCTGAGAACAATGTCCTATATGTCCATTGTCTTGGGGCACCCATCACACTGCACCAGGGCTGTATGCACTGTCTTTGCCAAGAGAGGTGAAGTTCCACCAGGGCAGGCCCGTGGCTGTTCTGCTCAGTGAGAGATGCTGCTGCTGTTTGGTACCATGGAGTCTATTCTGACTTCTGGTGATCCATGTGTGCAGAGAACTGTTCCATGGTGTTTTCAAGGCCATCACCTTTTGAAAGCAGGTCACTAGGCCTGTTTTCCCAAGGCACCTCTGGGTGGGTTCAATCACCAAACTTTCAGCCAGTAGCCAAGTACTTAACTGTTTGTGCCATCTGAGACTCCGCTATATCCCACAACATACAGAGGATGGATGGATGGCCAAGTAGATGAAAAAATAAACCATGGTTGACAGAATTACATTAACCAACCTTTTATCGTCACCATAAGAATGTTTTTAAATAAATTATGATTAGCCATGAAATCAGTAGGATTCATACAGTCAATGTACAGAACTCTGCACATCATTCATATGTTCTGTGTCAACTTGGCCAGACCTGGTTCTGAGTGCCTGGGCAGCTAGATGTAGTGATTCCTCATGATGAGACTGGGAATCAACTCCATGAGCTAAGTAGCTGCCTTAGGGATGTGGTCTGCTTCCAGTATATAAGAAGCAGCTTTGAGAAAAGTATCTGAGCTTTTGACACATCTGGATGCTGCATATGGCCGAGTCTACATCTCCATGGCCTGCCATGCTGTTTGCCAATATTGAGACTGTTAAAGGATGTGAATTAGTGGCCTGCCATGTTGCTCGATAATTTAGAGACTGTGCCATTTTACCTGTTCACCTTGGGTTTGTCAGTCTCAGCAGCCAGCAGCTATCTGAGGTAAGAGAAGCCTCCAGCTCCAGTGGGCCAGGGGCAAGAGATAGAGCTGAAGCCCAAGGTCAAGAGGTTTTCACCCAACCCTTAAAGCTAGTCCTTTGAACTTGGACCACTAGCCTCCTAAACTATAAGAGAATAAACCTGTGTTGGCTTTTTTTTTGTGATTTGGGTGAAGATTTACAGAGCAAATTCACTTTCCATACAGCAGTTCACATACACTTTGTCTCATGACATTGACCACAGTTTACCACAATGCAACAGCTCCCCTCCCACTTCCTTCCGATAGTTACCTCTTCCCTGTGTCCATCCCTTCATGCACTCCTGCCCCCTGAGCTGTCTCCCTGTGCATAAGCAGCCCTTCTGTTCTCCCATGATTGTTCTCTCCAAGGAGTGTATCTACCTCAGGTAAATGTTCAACTCCTATGCCTGTCTTTTGTCTGGCTGGAAACCCCAGGTGTGGGTTCAATTCCAGACCTGAAGGGCAGCTAGAGGCCATAGTCTCAGTGGTTCCACCAGGCTCTATGAGACCAGCAAACCTGGTCCCCTCCCCCCTTTTTTTTTCCTCCAAATGATTTTGAGTTTTGTTCCACATTGTTCTCCCTCTCTATCAAGGATCTCCTACATAGATCCCCTTCCAAGTGGATCACAGTGGTAGCCGGACATCATCTAGTTCTTCTGGTCTCATAGTCATATTGGCTGCAGATGAGATGGTGTACCAGTTGCTAGGACTAATTGAAGAGAATAAACCTGTTTGTTTAAGCCATCCACACTTGTGGTATTTTCTGTTAGAGCGGCACTGGAGGGCAAAACCACATAACCACATACATTTCTCAGAAAGAGCAGGGGGCCATGACATTTCCAACTGACCTTCCAAGAACTCAGTAAATGTATTTGTGTGTAGGTGTATTCCAATACAGAGGAAAAAGTAATTATGGTAAACTGTCCATAGTTATTGAATCTGGGTAATAAGTAAATGGGTGACATGGGGAATAACTGAATTCTTCTTTTCACTCTTCTCTATGTTTCAAAATTTTAATAAAAATTATTTTTTCTACCCAATTAAGTCCCAGGAAGAACAATCAATCAACAGGTTCATCTCATCACTTCCTATCACCCCTTCCCCACACCCCAACCTACCCCATTCTAGCTCTGAAAGAGGTAAGATGGTCTTACGAGAAATTCAAATCAGTATGTTCTTGGCCTGTATTGCTTAAGCTAAAAGCTCTGCAAATGAAAATAAATAATGTCAGTTCCATTTTTTCAAAACATAAGTTTCCTTTCCAGGTTTTAAACAGTATCTACAACAGGAACTGATTTAGCAAGAGCAGCCCATCAATCTGTGGCCGACAAAGTACTGCATAAGTTTCTACAAACTACCGCTCATGAATAACTGAGTACAGAAACATGATTTAAACACATGTTTTTGCTTCAATAATAAAAACTCTTTGATGTATTGTATAATAATATATAAATTATGTTTTCTAAATACATAACATTTTATAACAGCCATCTTGAATGTAGTAAGCTAAAGCGAATGGAAGAAATGATGATTCAAAAGAGCGGAACAGAAGGTTTCAAAGGGTTCCTCAAGAAGACAAAGTAAAGTGTTATAAAGAAATGTGCAAAGACCTGGAATTAGAAATCCAAAAGGGAAGAACATGCTCAGCATTTCTAAAGCTGAAAGAACTGAAGAAAAAAATTTAAGCTTTGAGTTACAATTACTGAAAGGTTCTATGAGCAAAATATTGAACAATGCAGGAGGCATCAAAACAAAATGGAAGGAATACACAGTTATTGTTACCAAAGCAAATGATCAACCCTCAACCATTTCAGAAGGGAGAATATGATTATAAACCAATAGTTCTGAAGGAAGAAATGAAAGCTGCACCAAAGACAGTGGTGGAAAAAAAAAAAGTTCTAGGAATGTAGAAATACCAACTGAGATGTTTCCACAAAGGAATGCAATATTGGAAGTGCTCACTCAGTATGTCAATAAATTCGGAAGGCAGTTACCCAGCCAACTGACTAGAAGAGATAGATCCATATTTGTGCTCATTCCAAAGAAAGGTGATCCAACAGAATGCAGCAATATCAAGCAGTGTCATTAATACCACACACAAGTAAAATTTTGCAGAAGATAATTCAAAAATGGCTGCAGCAGAGTATTGACAAGGAAGCTCCAGAAATTCAAGCTGGATCCAGAAGAGGATGTGGAACAAAGTATTTCACTGCTGTCGGAGGGATCTTGGCTGAAAGCTGAAAGCAGAGAATACCAGAAAGAAGTTTGCCTGTGTTTTACTGAATTATACAGACATTCAACTGTGTGGATAACAAATTATGCATAACTGTGAGAAGAATGGGAATTCCAGGACACTTAATTGGGCTCATGCAGAACCTGTACATCAAAAGAGGCAGTCATTGAACAGAACAAGCAGATACAATGTGATTGAAAATCAGGAAAGATGTGTGTCAAGATTGTATTCTTTCACCATACTTATTCTTTCAATCCACATGCTGAGAAAATAATGCGAGAAGCTGGACTATATGAAGAACCTAGCATCAGGATTGGAAGAAGACTCATTAACAACCTGTGATATGCAGATGACACAATCTTCCTTGCTATAAGAGAAGAGGACTTGAAGCACTTACTGATGAAGATTAAAGACTACAGTCTTCAGTATGGATTATATCTTAACATAAAGGAAACAAAAGTCCTTACAACTGGACTAATAAGCAGCATCATGATAGATGGAAAAGACTGAAGTTGTAGAGGATTTCATTTTGCTTGGCTCCTCAATCAATACCCACGGAAAGAGCAGTCAAGAAATCAAAGGACATATTGCACTGGGCAAATACAATGCAAAAGACCTCTTTAAAGTGTTAAAAAAGCAAAGATGTCATGTTGAGGACTAAGGTGCACCAGACTCAAGCCTTGGTATTTTCAAATCACCTGATATGCATGCAATGAAATGGACAACGTAAGGAAGACCGAAGAAGAATTGAAGCCTTAGAATTACGATGCTGGCCTGAATAAACCATGGACTGCCATGAGAATGAACAGATTTGTCTTGGAAGAAGTACAGTCAGGATGCTCCTTAGAAGCAAGCATTGTGAGACTGCGTCTCATGTACTCTGGACATGTTGTTATGAAGGACTAATCCCTGAAGAAGGACATTATGTTTCGTGTAAAGTAGAAGGTCAGAGAAAAAAAAAAAAAAGAAAACCCTCAATAAGATGGGTTGACACAGTGGCTGCAGCAGTGGGCTCAAACAGCAACAATTTTCCAGACGGTGCAGGGCTGTCCAGCATTTCATTCAGTTGTACACAGGGTCACTATGAGTCTGAACCAACTTGACATCACCTGACAACAACCACCACAACAGCCATATTCATCAAGCATTGCCAAAAGGTATTCATAGTTAAATCTTATTTAACAATCCCTCTCCCAAGGCCACCCACATCTTCCCTGAAAAGATGAGTCTAACTTTAGGATGCACAGCTAAATGTGAGCATGCTGAATCATTAGAAGACAGATGAAAAGAAGTACAAAAGAAGTGCTGAAACCAAATGAAAGAAACATTTAACACTTCCTAAAGAACTCCTTTAGGAAAAAGTACAAATCATCTCAAGTAAGTGAGATATTTTGATTGCAAGAATCAGAAACATCAACTCAGTTTCAACAATAAGGAAATTATATCTCTAGCATTACAGGAAATCCAGAAGCAGCGAAGCCTTCGTGGTTGATTCCACCCACCTCAGATTCACCATCCTCAGTATATCAGCTTTGTCTTCAGGCTTACTCTTCAGTCACAGCATGACAGTCTACAC